AACGTTATAGTCAAAATACTAAACAGAAAAATTCCAGAATCTGAGTTTACAGTGTAGTCGACTACTATGCCTTGTAGTCGACTACTGAGCAATTTTCTGACTTCACAGAGTCTGTTTAGACTCAGTGTAGTCGACTACTATGACTTGTAGTCGATTACAGATATAGTTTTTTCAGATTTCAGGTTTTAAATAAGTGACTGTTTATAGCCGTTTTGTGGACGTTAATTGGGTTTAAAATTATGTCATTTCAGAGGCTATAAATAGGTTTAAACATCAGAAAACAAGCACCAAGTTTTGCACTTGCAAGATCAAACATTTTGTGCATATTCACTCTCTAATTTTTCAGATTTTCATGCTAAGTGTTTAGAAAAAGAGAGTTTCTGATATTGCCTTGGTTTCAATCATTCTTAGAGATTGTATAGACAATATTCAGAGAGTTAAAAGAATCCTAAGCTACTGCAGCACTTCACTACACATTCAAGGCTTATAGGATCAATTGTGTTCTTGCTTCAAAAAGGATTTCTCTCGGGTTTGAGAGGGTTGATCTCTTGGTTTAGAGATTGGGTGGCAATTGGCATGGTCTTGTCAATTGGTGTTGCAATTTGCATGGTCTTGCAAATTGGTCAGGTTTGCTTTTGATTTTGTAAGGTTTCAAAATCATAGTGAAAATCTCAAGCGGGATTTGCTTGGGGACTGGATGTACACCGGGTTGGTGGAACCAGTATAAAACTTTGTGTTTGTGATTGTGAATTTCTGAGATTGTCATTTTTCTTTACAATTTATAATCTACTTTGCATATATTTTAAAAGAATACTATTCACCCCTCTTCTAGTGTTCTAGTGTATCTATTTCAGATCCTACAATTTTAAGTTATTATTTTATTACATATTCACTGAATTTTTTAAAGAATAAATCCACGAAGGGGTCCATAAATAGAGGAAAGAAGCTGCATGACCATCATTTTGGCTCACACTCCTACGCTAGTCTGGAGGATGCTTATTGTCAGGACACGGTATATGTCATTTAAACCTTTAAATAATCTTAATACTTAGTATGATTATAAAATCTCATAATTTAACATATGATAGGGAAAATCATTAATGCCGATACACTTGAGGGTAAAAGCGGCATATGGTACTTTCTGTGATAAATATAGGGGTGATGAGAAGAATCAGGATAAGATCAGGGAAAATCTCGAGTTGGTGGTAAGACTTCTACATATATTGAATAGTATTATTAACTCTATTTCTTTGTTAATATTATGAGGAAACGAGATCACAAATAATATGATTTTTAACTTGAATTAACTACATATTTGTGATTTAGAGTGGATTTGAGGCTGCATCCAAGGAGGCTGCATCTGTGCATATTTCGCAGGAGGAGGAACAAACCGAGCTGGATCCTCACATGCTTTCTACAGAGGAGAACATCACTCTCACACAAAACCTGATGGGTTATAACAGGTATGGATGCCAATAAAATCGAATCAATTTGAATACTATGTTCCTATTTAAATTTGTTTCTCCCTAATAATAGGAGAGGAAGATATCCTCTGCATGGGATTGGCGCTTCACCCGGCATAAGTATGAGATCATCCACAACATCCTTCACACCATCTGCGTCAATGAGAACAACCCCAAGCAGTTTCCAGGCTATGCCACTTGTCGCACGTATCTCTGCGTATTTGATTGACAAGATTGACCCAGAGCTGCATATTCAGGTGACTAATGAGATGACTAAAGTTTCGCTGACAGCGAACTCGATGGACGATCTCATGGGGTATATTATATAATATTTAGATGGTGTGATTCCTTATAGCGCGTATGGTGGTGTCATACGGCTCATAAGCTCGAGTTGTGATAATTCTGGCGCTAGACATAGCAGCGCACATGTACCTTATTTTTTGTTATTTTTATAAATTTATTTTTATTTAATATATTATCAAACACCACATAATCATGTACCTTATTTTTTGTTATTTTTATAAATTTATTTTTATTTAATATATTATCAAACACCACATAATTATTATTCAATTGAAATTTTAGAGTGGAGATATTGGAGGGAGCAGCACTCGTTCTCGTAACCGGGATAGAGATACCCCCGCTGACGATGATAGCTAAGGTTTTTTGCTAATTTTCTTGCAATAAACAGTTTACTTTGTTATAACGCTACATTTATAACACTACTTTTTTATAACACTACATTTATTAATGTCGTGTATCCTATCATATTCATGTATATTGTTAGTATATATGTTGTGGGATGTATATATTAGGCGTAATTGGTTGATGCATATTTTGGATTAGATGGTTTGAATTGTATATGGTGTTGGAATTGTTTGGAATGGTATTGTTTGGAATTATGATTATTATTGGATGGTTGGATGTATTCATGTGTACAATATTATTGTGGGATGTATTCATGTGTACAAGGAAATGCAAATTGTAAATATTTTTTTCTAGAAAAAGAACAAACTAGACGGAATTCTGTCTAGGATGGATCAACCTAGACGGAATTCTGTCTGGGTTGTCTATCTAGACGGAATTCCGTCTGGGACATCAACCTAGACGGAATTCCGTCTGGGTTGATAACCCAGACGGAATTCCATCTAGATTATCAACCCAGACGGAATTCTGTCTAGGTTGATGTTCTAGACGGAATTCCGTCTAGATAGACAACCCGGACGAAATTCCATCTAAATTGTCAACCTAGACGGATTTTTCAATTCCGTCTAGGTTGACTTCCATCTAGATTGAATAATCTAGACGGAATTCCGTCTATTTTGAACCAAAATAGACGGAAACAGAATAAATTCGTCAAACTAGACGGAATTCCGTCTACACCCATCAACCTAGACGGATTAACGATCAACCTAGACGAAAATTTCCGTCTAGGTTGATCATATTTCTACTAGTGTATAGACTACTCGGGTGGTGTTGATCCATTAATTTAAATCCTAACATGATGTAGTAATACGATGTGCTTTTATAAAATGATACTTTTTTTTTGTTGTGATCTTGAATACAATCCACTTAATAATTTCTTCCTTAGAGTCGTCGCATGATGGTAATCTATCAATTTGAAAAATGCGATACGATTTGATATTATAAATCTATAAACTTTTCTAATTGGTTTCTTTGAATTTTGATGCAATACAATACGCAAACATATAAGTATATATATTTATTTTGAGTTAATTTTTCCCAAGATAAAGTTGCTTGAATCTTTAATATTTTAAAATTAGTTTCTTAAATCATTGAAATTGTTAATAATCTCAATTATCCAAAGTTGTTTCAAAACGTCACTCAAATAACATTGGAATTGAGATTACATAATCTTCGAAAAGTTGTTTCATATACGCACTCAAGAGCAACGCGACTAATTGATCTAATAGTGATTTTAATAATCCAATGGGCTAATATAAAAAAAATCCCCTTTTGTTTTATTTTTAGAGCATCTCCAACAGTTTCTCCAAAATTTTCTTCAAAATGGGGAAGCAAAAGTCATATTCTCCAACTAATTTTTACACCAACTCCAACAGCTTCCCCATTTTGAAGAATCCATTTTTTCCTCCAAAAATTTGGAGAATGCTGCAGATTTGGGGAAGCTTCCCCATTTTTTCTCCTCCATCCCTATTTTGGGGAATGGGATGGGGAATCTATTGGGCCAAAAACCTAACTAAATTCTCCAAAAGTGAGAAATGGGGAAGCTGTTGGAGATGCTCTTAGTTAATAAGTACTGTCCTTGACTTTTTGTACGTGTCTCAATATTATTGGACATGAATCAAAATAGAAAGGGTCCATTAACATTTAACTAATCCCATGATTAAGCGCCCCCCTAATCACAATTAGCACTTCCCACGTGCTACTTAGTCCACCCGTACGATCACGACACGTATTTCGCCGCAAAAGATGCGTTTCTCTGCAGAAGAGACACAAGTCGCCTCCAGCGTGAAGCAGCACGGCTCCCCTCCCCCCCTCCACTACACGACAAACGAAGCTGACCTTAACCGGTTGCTATCAGGCCACGTGACAATGTGAACCCGTTACAAATAGACACGTGTGGGTCAAAGTGGGCCCCGCACCGTGGTCGGCTTTTCCTTGCGGGGTTGGCGACGAGGGTTAGAAAGCGACGTGATCCCGGATCCGGCCGGAAACTGAGGGCACGTGGCGTGTTTTGATTCGGTTCGCGGCGGGTGATCAACTGGGTGAGCTCCGTTGGGCTGTGGAATATCTAAAAAGTAAGTAAGGGGGTCTTTTGGGAGGTGGAAGGTTGGTGTACGCGTGGTGGTTTTGGAGTGGTTGGCGGTGTTTCAGGAAATCTCTGTCTGGTGCAGGGCTAGCTTCGTAATTACGCAGCTTTTGTCACGTTCTTTGACAAGTCATCTCGCTCTGCGTTATCGACCAAAAAAATTTGTCGGATTGTATATATAATAGTTAGTTTAAGAGCAGTGAAATCAAATTTACTTAGAAGCAAAGAGAAGTTAAAAAAAAAAAAAACGAACTTAGTGCAGTGTCATATCTAAGTTTGGACTCTAAATCTTTATCCTTCCAAAATCTCCCCAAAATTGCCCTGACGTGCACCCTCACTAGCATACATCTTGCTTATCGTTGCGTCGCTCCTCAAGCCATGGGCTTTTTGTAGGCAGAAGAGTTCAAATCCCATCACTCTTATCTTTAAACATCAGCACCATACATATGCCCTGACATGCACCCTCACAAAATATCCTGTGGGCTGATTTTTGGTTCGATCTGAGTCTCTAGCTGTTCTTTGTCCAGCAGACCGAGTCCCTAGGGATGTATCAGCCGCGAGCGAAGCTCAGATGGGGCGATCCGATCTGAGATCATGGATCCAAGGCTCAACTTCGAACCAGTTTGACTCCTGCTCCAGATTTCTGCCAGAAGAGAATCAGGACTTAAAACAACTAACGTTACTCACAAGTTGAAGTTTAAAGGTGGAGCTGCCAAACACGGCCTCAATATAATACAGAGAAAAGATGCACAGCTCAATCAGGTTTCAAACTAGAAAAACACGCCCAAAACACTTCAAACTGGATACAATATGCACAAGAGAGACGGTTCAATTGGCGGTACTAACAAGAAAAGACGCACACAGCACTTCTCGAAGCCAACAACTGACCTTTATTGTTACTGACATCTCAATATTATCTGCATCTCATATAACAAAAGATCTCCCAACAAAATACACGTACAGGTAGGCAGATAGATATACAACGAGAAGAAACTGCGAAACTAATCCTATCAGGGCCAGAACCAAAGGGAATGATCTTCGACAGGAAACTCGAAACTTGCTGAGTTATCCTCGAGCTTCAGAAACTGATGATACCCTTTCACCTCCTCATCCTCCTCAATATATGAGATATCGGACTGATCAGGCTCGAAAGCATTAGAGGAATCGGTGTGAGCTCCATCCATGCAATGAGGGCTTTCAGAATCTGAGACCGCACTATCGCTTGAACTGTGATCCTCTTGCTTTACTCCTACACGTGGGGTTTCAGAATTTTTGAGCTCAATTGTGATGTTATTATCTGTCGTCCTGAGTTCTAATGGTTCTGTGACACCTTTGTGGTTTTCTTTGAGGAGGAGCTTGTCCGTGAGATGAACTACCTGGAAAATAGTCTGATGATTAAGTTGGGAAAAGAAATAAAAGTTCAAATCAAATACTGGTTACTACGATAGTTTTGTTGCCTTTGTCGTCTAGACTAACTGAATTCAAACAGTAATTTGATCAAGTGAAGCCAACAATTCCAATAAACCGATAATTTATACGAATTATCTACAATATGGGAGAAAACTGACCAACAAGTTGAGTAGAAAATATCCACCATGTTTAGATAACCACGGTACGATGATGCTAAATGATCAAGATTTGACAATTTATACGCAGAAATTTAATCTGCTGAAGCAAACAATTCCATAAACGATGACTTAATTGAATATGCTCATACTATACCAAGATAATAAACCTATGAATATCAAATTGAGTACAATATGCACTGTGAAGATGACACTCAAATGCTCTAGATTAACAATTGTACACAAACATGCACATCTAGTTTATCTTCAACTTGACCAATTCGACGAGAAATGTCTGAAATAATGTGGGTTTTAGTCATTTATATGTCACATATCACAAACAAGAATACATACTTGAAACTTATATCCCGAATCAAGCAATTTGAATTCATATGATTTAGCTCAGAATAGGAAGATATACCTCTGCTTTAAGCTTCTCCTTCTCCTTAAGAAGATCATCATAATCCCCCTTAAGAACATCAAAGCTCTTCTTCAACACCTCATAATCCTTCTCAATTTGCTTCGTCTTCCACCTTGCTCTCCGATTCTGAAACCAAATAGCAACCTGTCTTGGTTGCAATCCGAGATCCTTAGCAAGCTGAATCTTTCTCTCGGGTTCCAGCTTGTTCTCAATTTCAAAGCTCTTCTCCAAGAACTGAACCTGGGTGGAAGTGAGCCTCCTCTTCTTCTCTGGCTGATGAAGGGACTCATCATAATCATCATCAAAGCTTTCCTCAGGTTCTCTAGGGCGGTAGAATGGCTGGTTGCTTGTGCTATGGCAAATTTCCTCAAAGTTTAGCATTGATCTAGAGCCTGAAAATATAAGTACTCAAATGATTCAGTACAATGGTATGAGAAGTGACGAAAATAATAGTCAGTGAATTGTCAGTGGAGGTTCCTACAGTATCAATGAGAATGATGCAGAGAATACTTCAATGAATCTTTCCGAACAATAATTGTGACAAATGATGCAAAAAAGATTCAATTATAGAGATGAACAGGTCTCAATAGAAACTTATTAATTGAATTGCCTCTCAGGATAAGGTTTATTCGGATGAATCTTTAAATACCAACGTCAAGTCTAGATATAACTACGAAAATTGATCAGAGCTTAACTTGAAATTTAGCTTCAGTATCATAATAAATATGAAAAGGAAAAGGAGCATACCACGGATACCAGTATGAGAGGAGCTAGAAGAAATCAAAGCCTGGAAAGCCTCAGAAGAAATCCCTTCTTCATTCTGCAACAAAACAGCCATCTCTGAACCTCCATAAACTCTTCTCCCTGCCATCTTTCTCTACTTATTTCTACTTGGAGCGAGAAAACAGAGATCAAATTTTGCCTAAAACCCAGAAAAAATTTACAACCAGATCTTCATCAAGATCACCGAAAGAGGTATCCTTGTTCAATCTAGAGCTTGTGGCGAAAGAAGCTAGTGGTCATGAGAACAGAGACATCAGATGATCCCTGAGGCCAGAAATTGCCCACTCCCATCACTCTCTCTCTCATCAGGAGAGCAAAGAGATGAATTCAACTGGGTTTCTACAGAAATTTGCTGATGGGTTCAGGAGAATTCTGCCAAATTCTATCAAATTTGGCAGAAATTTGATCTCTTCTTTTGGAAGCAGGAAAAAAAGCAGATCAAGTATTTGGAACTTGAAAAATATTAAGATCTTTTTTTTTTAAATCTTTTGCTACACAAACTAATTTCTGCTCTTGTTTGAGAGTTTCCTTCTTCTTCTTCTTCTTTCAAGCAGCGAGAGGTTTGGGGGGTTTATAAGGAGGAGGAGCCCAGAGATGAGGGAAAGCGAGGTGGAGTAAAATGACATAAATACCCTTATTGGGAAAAATGAAAAACCCACTGAAAATATTAAAGTGATTTTCCCAATTCTTTTGGTCATGGATGATCATTTATCCCTTTTTGACCGATGCGGGTCATTTATTCACTTGTTTTTACAGGGATTTCTATTGCCTTGACCCTTTGAACTTAGAAGGTAGGAGATTTTAGCATTCAACCTAAAAGAATTTATCAGGCAATAACAATGTTTAGCATGTAATATTATACCCTTAAAAAGCGTAAAGTTGTGACTCTCTTCATGTTTCAGAGATTTGATAATTAGGAAAAACTTTAAAATGATAAAAAAAAAAAAAAAAAAAAAAAATCAAGATTTTCACATCTTAAGAAACACGCCTTTAAAATAGATGAAAACAAATATCATTGCATAAAGGTAATATGGATTTTGTCATGTTAAAATAACACTTAAGTCTTAAGAACATCTAAAAGTATAAAATTAGGTCTGTCCAAACGGGTCGGCCTAGCCCGGCCCGGCCCGGCAAACTGGACTCGAGCCGGGCAAAACCCCTGGCCCAAACCCGGGCCTGATTGGCTCGGGCGGGGTCCAGGTCCTGGCCCGGTCATTTTCTTTTTTTTTTTGCTTAAAATGTTATTTTTTTGTCAAAAAATATCAAGAGTAGATAACAATAAATTAAGCAAAATTTTGATAAAAAATCAATCATATTATTAATCACTTGTAATTATATAATTTACAAATACAAAAAATCATATAAATTAAAATGATAAAAAAAAACATTCTTTATTAATAATCAGTTAATCACTAATAATTACAAATTTATTTTGAAATTTGTTACATCATAATAGATGAATACATCCCAACTAGGTTGGCACATACTCATCTATATCACTATCATTTGCAACTCTGTTTAAAATAATTTATCGCAAATTTTTAGCTAAGAAAAAAAAATTACAAATTAATGTATAATTTCTACTCTTTATCTCTCTCTCCTATTCCCAACTCTTCAAGTTTATCTTCAATACTAGCCATCTGATCGATGCATTGAGTTCTCTTCTTGTACCTCCATCAATCTTATAGACACATTACCGCCTCTACAGTAGATGGATCTAACGATGTTCTGTGGTCGTAGATCAAACGTCCTGATGTGCTGAAGGCGGATTCCGAAGCTACCGTGGAAACCTGCATTGTTAGTAAGTCACGAGCCATGATGGAAAGTATAGGATATGAAACTGTTTCATATACTCTTCACCATTGTAAAATATCAAAATTATTATTTTGAATTTTAACTAAAAATGCAGATAAATATTGTTCAATTTAAGAAATTTTCATTGATCATCTGGATCCACCAATTAGCTGAGCTATTAATAATTCCCTATCAAAATTCTTCCCTTTGCCCCGACTTGAACTCGTAGAAGCAGAAACTATAGGTTGATGTGTACTTACATCATATCTAGCTGTATACTCATTATATAATTTTTGAAAATAAGTTCTAATAGTATTATGATGAGTAAGAACAGTAATAGTTTGACCATCATCAGTGTCTGTTATCATGTTACCATACAAAAAATTTAACAAAATTTGAAGGTCAACATTCTTCAAACATGGATCGACAAGAACCCTCAAACCAAAAATAATAGGAATAGACCTAAAATACTTATTAAATTTACTTTCCATTTGAAATATCATATTTTCAAAATAATTATCCATACGATAAGTATTAAAAAAGTTTGAATATTTAAAACTTGTAAAGTAGATTTAATAATAGTTGGATAATAACAACCAAATAATAATATAGTAGCATCATAAAAAACTTGTAACATCTCTTTTACATTATATATAACTAAACATTCATCCTCAGTTGTTCCATACATATTACGAGAGCTAGAACTAGAGGTATAGAAAGCAATAAAATCATTTATAATTTCTTTATACTCTATTTCTACATTTAACATTGCATAGATAGAATTTCACGTATGGTCAATATCTTTTGGGATTAATCTGGGTTTAAAATTTTTTCTTTTATACAATTGTTTCCATCTTTTAAGTCTTTGTTCAGAAGCATTATGAGCATAATCTATTATCCTAACCTTTTCTATCATATATATAATTTCATCAAATGCACTTTAAACAATTAAATTTAAAATATAATACATACATCTAATATAAAAAATATTACCATGACATGACAATAGCAAAGATGATTTGATATGATCAAGAGCTACATTATTACTTGCAATAACTAGTAAAAGAGAAATTATTTTTTCTAAAATTTCTAATTTTATAAGTTCTTCTATTATTAAATTTGCAATATTAGTACCACTATGAATCTTCAAATGCAATAAAAGAAATAAGTCTTTTAAACATTTGCCAATTATCATCAATCTAGTATGTTGTGATACATAAGTAACCAGTTTGTGCTCTAGATGTTAACATATCAGAAGTTTAAATAAATTTACGGTTTAAATTTTAAAAATAAGAAATTATTTTTTCTTGTTCCTCATGATAATATTTTAAAATATCACGTTGACAAGATTGACGAGATTTTTTTTAAATGCGAGATAAAAACCATTTGTAATTATATTTTTAAATTCATCATCTTCTACTAATTTAAAAAGAAGGTTTTTAAGAATAATAAACCTGATAACACATTTTCTAGCTTTAATTGCGTCATAGTTCTAACTACCGAGACTACCGGAGGATGAGGATTGGGAAAGTAATGATTGTCGGATATCACCTTGAGGCATTGCTTGACCTCTTTTGTGCTTTTCAAAATGGTGTTTGAGGTTGTTAGTGTTGTTTTTATGATGAGCTTGGAAAATATGGTTGTACAACGCACACTTATAATTCTGGGTGAGAAGCCTACTGTGTTGATCCCTCGTAACTTCTATCTTCTCAAAGAAGTTCTACAAATTGGATCTCGGCTTTTTAAGAGCTCTAGGTGCAGAATCATTGACACCAGATTTGTGATCAACATCGGTAGGAGAAGTAATTGTAGCTCTTGTAGTAGGAGTATTAGGACTCGTTTTAACATCGGGAGTTGAGATTTGCCCTTCATAATCAGAGGAGGAAGCCATTTGATCGAAGAATTAGAAAGAAATAGTAAGAATAAGAAAGTATTAGAGAGTATTAGAGAGAAGTAGATGCGTTTTGGATGAGAAAAATAAGTAAAAATTATCTCTATTTATAGAGACAGTCCCCTAACAATATGACCAAAATATCCTCAAATTTTGGCCATTTTTTACTGTTTTAGGGTGTTTTGGTCAAAAGAGCAAATATGGTCGTTATGGCCATTCAGACCAGGCCAGGTCCGGGCTGAGCCACGACTCGGCAGCCCGACCAATAGGCATGTGATCGTTGTAGTCGAGTGCTCGGCCAGTGGTCATGTAACCGTTGTGGCCGAGCCAGGCCCGTGCTGCCCGACCATTGGTCACATTCATGATCGTTGTGGCCGGGTCGGGCCCGGGCCAACCTGGTCGGCCCAGCCAAATGGTCACATACCCCCGGGTCGGGCCGTTTCGGCCCAACCCGTCTCCCCGCTGAGTCCAAGCCCAGACCCAGGCCACCCCGGCCTGGGCCCAGCCCTTTTGCTGGCCGGGTCGGGCTGAGTTTCATGCGGGCACCGACGAAGCGGTCCAGGCCGAGCCATTGATAATTGAACATCCAATTGAAAAACAAACTAGGGAGAGTTATGCAAAGAATATGTTTACTATCTTTCAGAAAAAACTCAAGGATAGTTACTCCATGCTTCATGAAAGGTTGTCGAAGGATGACGCAGGTGCTACTTATGCTGTTTGGAATATAGATAGGGAGGCTGAAAGCAAGAAGATAGTAAAGCATCATGTTGTCTTCGATGCATCTAAAGAAAAAAGAATTAAGTGCTATTGTGCTAGATTTGAGATGGAATGTATATTATGCAAACATAGCTTGCACATTTTAGTAAAAAAGCAAGTATTAGAAATTCCTTCAAGATATATTATGCAACAATGGATAACTAATGCAAGACATGTTGGTTTTGGAGGGTCCGGTCAGTACACCGGGCCGGGCCTGGGCCTTGGGCCCAAATGAACATGCCTATATAAAATTATAAACTCTCAACTATTGCAGCCTCATCTTAATTTCAGAATTTTAGTATATTTAAAGAAACATCAAATTGCATACAGGAATAGTGGGCTAAATTAAGTGTTATGAATAATTATGATGTAAGGAACTGAAGTGTTTAAACATTGTTAACGCAACTGTTTGCTATACAACTTGTTTGCAATATGCCAGTTTTTTGGTGAGAAGGTCTTCCATTTATAATATAGAGTATTAACGAAAAAGGAATGTTGGTTATGAAGTAACGGTTCATTTAACAAAATAGGGCTACCAATAGAGAGTAATGAAGTCCACACATTTTTATATGACTAGCAAAGTGGGCATCACCACATGATTATCTCTTTGTTGCTCATTTAGAAAAATGAGTCATCACCTTTTACCCATTATTACCTACAGACAAAGATCTAACTTCTATGAGTATATAATAACTATTATTTGAGTCTCTCGAAAAAATTATTGTTTGAGAGCTGATGAACAAAGAAAAGCAATGTGATTGATTATTTTTTCGGAGAGTATATTATCAAGCAGCAGGTGGAGCAAAGACTTCTTTTTTTCCTTATAAAGATGAGGAAATTTTCTTCTATTGAAAACAAAGTTTGCTATTGTTTTTTTTCTTGAAGTAA